CCCGAAAAGAGATGCACAGTTGTTGCTGGGTGGGCAGGGAAATTTTATCCTTGCCATTCACCACAAATGTAAACACAAACGTGCAGTACAACGTGTAATGTGTGTCAGGAAGAGGGGACGGAAAATTACCTTTATGCAGCACATTCATAAAAATCTGTGCAGAACAAAATGGAGGATGGAATCCTAAGAGCTATAATTAGGAGCCTTGCACTTATGGTGACCCAAAGATTCAATATGACATCGACTTCCAAAGGCAGAAAAGGGCCCATTAAAACTAATCCACTGTGGCAATGAATGGGAATATGTATACGTTGGTGTATAGTCATTTATTTTAAACAGCATCCCAACATACAGTATATACCCAGTAAATGTCTCTGCACTATAGTGCACGGCAATGTCCAAATGTGCTGCCAGAAATAGTACGGGGGCATCTTTTTATGTGCTTAGGCCATTCAAAATCAGCTGCTTTGACACAATGGGGGTTATTTACTAAAACTGGAGCAGCTTGAAATGAATGAGCTGCCCTACCAGCAACGTGTGCGTGCAAACACACTCACACAGGTCTGAATGGAGCCTTCTAAAAGTTATATAAGAGGAGATATTTTAATCACTCAGACTCTGTCCTTAAGTGACAAAGGGGTTGATTTACTAAAACTGGAGCAGCTTGATCTGGTGCAGCTCTGCATAGAAACCAATCGGCTTCCAGGTTCTATTGTGAAAGCTTAACTGAACAAGCTGAAGTTAGAAGCTGATTGGCTGCCATGCACAGCTGAGCCAGATTCTGAGTGCTCCTGTTTTAGTAAATTAAGCCCCAATGGGCGTCAGTGCACAAATAAGGATGAAAAAGTATGAATGGGCCCTAAACGTTAAGTGTCCTAAAACAAAATCACATGTCCCTCTTTAATCCCTTAGTCACGAATGTGTTTAAAAACATGGAGGGGCTACTTTTTTTTTGTTACATGGAAGAAATATCTTTTGTGTAGTGTCTGAGATTGAAACAGCACAAAAAATAAAATAAATAGGGATAACAACAACAGACATGTGGATGGATGTTGTACAAAAGTGGGCCACAAAGATTCCAATGAATAATCATGGGGTGTATTTACCACAAGGCAAACAAGGCACTTGCCTACGGCAGCATTTTTCAGGGGGGCAGCACCTCTCCCCAGAAGAAGAGATGGAAGAAGGGACACGCACACCTTGGAACCAGATGGGATCCCAGAGAGGCTGCGGGCTGCTTGATGGTCTATGTAGAGCCTGACTCTCTTTCCTGGGGATGTCCAGAGATGTGAAGATGGGTGTCTTTTTCTCTATCGCCGGGAGGGGGGGGGGGTAGTGGAAGGCTCTCCCAGATGGGGGGCAGTGGTGTTGTTGGTCAATATCAGGATCTCTCCACGGAGCAGGAAGGGGAGGTGTTGGTGAGCGTCCGTGGGGGTCAGATGATTTTTGTGTTGCCTAGGGCAGCACAATACCTAAATACACCACTGTGAATAATCCATTAGTCCATTCGAGATAAAACTTGGGACCAAGAGGCTTCTTGAGAACACCAGCACCAACTGTTTAGCACAGCTCATGGCTAAAAGCCATTGAACTGTGCTAAACAGAATGTGCAAGCGCCTTTCACATTGGAAGGTCATACTGGCCAAGGAGGGAAGTAATAGGAAACTGGCATAATTAGGGATAAAGGTTGACCCACTATTTAGTCAACTTTGGACACAACTTCTTTCCTGAGGGTACAAAGAACCCTACAACTCCAGAAAATGTGCAAAAATGTTCTCACATCAGGGCATGCCCTAAAAGCGTGTATGTTCCACTTTTCAGAAAATGGTGTAGATGTTTTTGTGGAGTTAAGTACCATCTGGTGTAAAGTTTCGTGCACTGTTAAGTCACTAGTACATTTACCAATATATACATAAACCAATATAGTAAAAACCAATATAGTACATAAACCAATATAGTACATATAACCAATATATACATAACCAATATAGTACATATACCAATATAGTACATATATACCAATATAGTACATAAACCAGTATAGTACATAAACCAATATAGTACATAAACCATATAGTACATAAACCAATATAGTAGTACATAAACCAATATAGTACATAAACCAATATAGTACATAAACCAATATAGTACATAAACCAATATAGTACATATACCAATATAGTACATATACCAATATAGTACATAAACCATATAGTACATATATCAATATAGTACATAAACCAGTATATAGTATAGTACATAAACCAATATAGTACATAAACCAGTATAGTACATAAACCAATATAGTACATATACCAATATAGTACATATATTAATATAGTACATAAACCAATATAGTACATAAACCAATATAGTACATAAACCAATATAGTACATATACCAATATAGTACATAAACCAATATAGTACATATACCAATATAGTACATATACCAATATTTTAGGGGTACATAAGACTCCATATACACTCTAAAAAATTAATCCCAATCCCTGAAGTCAGTAAATATATAAAGTATAGAATATACCTGCATCCAAAGCATAGACTCCTACAACAGTAGTGAGAAGTGTCACTAATGAAGTCCTATATCTGATATTGTTATAAATGTAGCAGTGAGTTTATATAGAAAATTCACAGATATTCCTCTAAATGCATTGCAACGTATTAAAAAAACTGGGTCAGCAAAGCAGCCAAGAAAAATTTGGGACACTATAGCTCAGTGATCCACAGCTAATAAACCGGCTAAATGTACAACCTATATGTTGATGATCGAGAAGGGGTTAATCATAAAGGGGATGCCTTGGGATCCCACCGTGAGAATTCTTGCAGGAACACCATATTTAATGAATGATTAAATCCAAACAGGGAGCTGTACAGTACAGAAGGACCATGTGATGCGGTTGTCATGACAACTGAATATTCCTTAAACTGCCTGTGTCTGAAGCCGCGCGCTGCTTGGATTTGCACACTGCATCTCTAGGTTTCCCACGAATAGACCAGATCAGGGAGGAAAGGAGGGGTGGGGGGGGGGGGGGAGCGCGGGGGTGATGTCATCCCTAGCAAGCTGAAACTGAATTATTTAACACAGGGCCAAAAACAATAGCTGCAAGTATCCCAAATTCTGCATCCATACCATCTCCTTGACAACGTATCACAAAAATTATATATATTATCTACTAATGTATATATATATGTGAAATATTTCCAGGAAGATGTTGTCATAATATAAAATTTTCTTTAAATATAAAAAAAATTACATATATTAAATATAACACACATGCCTTTGTGCAGAGATGTTTTAACGTGCTGTAACCAACAGCAACCAACCAGATTACTCCTGTGCTAAAGTTAGATAAGTATTGCTTGCTATAGGTTGCTGTGTTTTGCACATTTTCACTGCCTTCTAGATAGCCTTGATGAATAAGCATGAATGTTAATAATCTGGCAACATTCAGACCCCTGAAAAAAAAAAAAAAAAAAACAACAAACACGAATAAATGCCCTGCAAAAAACAGACAGAAATATTTCTAGCTTCATTATATCATAAAAATGTGATTGCATTATATACATTCCTATTTTGTTTGCATTTGGACCTTTTTGTGTTATCTAAAAATAGAACTGCAGGATAAAAAAAATCTTCCTTTTTATTTTCCAATAATCTTAACTCTCCAAACAATAATAATGATGTGATTAATCAGAATATTGATGCCCTTTATATTTTTAAAGATTGCATTTTTGGGACCACGGCAGCAAGGGTTAAATGCCCAGGCAGACATGTGCCACCTCCGGGGGTGGCGATGCTGTATTCAATTATGCAGGGGTTTCCACCATCTTAATCTTCTCCCTGTTCGGAGAGAGATGGTGCACTAAGACTGACAGCCCCCCCCCCCCTCCTCCTTCTCTTCACCAACGCCGAATAATTGTCACTTCAGCAGCTTGCTCAGCTGAGCACGACTAATGTGAAGCAGAGAAGCCCCCAGTAGATCCAGTCTTGCTGATGGGCACTAAGGGCTTGCACTTGGACAGCTGCCTGTGCCTTCTTTGTGCTCTTCCTGCCCACAGTTTGTGCTCGGCTACCATGGAATCGAGGGGCTCGCTTCTCTTCGTGATGGTACCGTTCGGAGTCTTAGGACTGTGTCCCAGCGGCTGATCCATGAACGCCACCCCAAAATCCTCTAAATCCATTCGGAATTCCTTTGTATGACATCTGGATTTGAGAGGGATCTGCTTTCCATTCTGGGGAATATTCCAAAATGCCTGAGGCTAATTATTTACTGTCCGTCTCTTGGGGCTACATCAAGGTGGGTTTTTTTTTTAAATTTGGAGCACCTTCATTAATGTGATCTATTTTTATTCTTTGCATGGACAGGACTCATTTTGTGGTTACAGGCTTAAGGAGGATAATATTTTGTAAATAATGAGGTCATATGCAATATAGACCTTTCATTTTGGCATACCCATAGAGCAGTTTAGCGTGGTATAATTTTTTTTTAGAGGGATTAAAGGACCGTGCATTTGTTTTTTTTTTTTGCCTTGTCGTCTATTTCAGATTTGTGCTGTTGATGCATTTTGGCAGCATTATGCTTCAACGGGAGATTGTAAGGCCCGCAGGTGATAATTGAATTCGGGTCTTCTTAACAAAGTGATTTTATGTGATTGTACATAGCAAATAGGGATTTGTATTGCAATCTGTCTTTTTTATGATCTAACATTAGGAAGCTCACGTGATGCTTCTCCGTTTGTTAACCATTCTGTGATACAAAGCCATTGAGAAGTTTATTCTGTATGAAATAAGCGTTGATGAACGTTACCTTGTGTCAGTGTTTAAAACATACGTCAATGATTATAAATGCATATTGAATCTTTACCAGAGATCTGGACCCTGATAACCTGTTTAACACATGTCAAAATGAAATCCCATTTGTACCGACATAAAATAACGGAGGACTTGGGTTTTTAAATGTCTTTTTTTTTTTTTAACAGTTCAAGAGGATGCTGAATCGGGAGCTGACCCACCTCTCAGAGATGAGCAGATCGGGCAATCAGGTGTCTGAATATATCTCCAGCACATTCTTGGGTAAGGGCGCTTTGATTTGCTGCATACCCACAATCCTTTGCTGAGTTGACACAGCTCTTGTTAAATGACCGTTATTACATGGCTGCAGGCAGGTGCGCCTGTTTGTTCCGATGGAATTCCTCGGGAACTCCCTTTTGAAGACACGTTTGTTCGGGCAAGAGACGTGTGCCGACAGTTATTAGGCAATTAAAGAACAGCTAAAGTAATAATGTTTTTAAATAACAATTCCCCCCAAGTACCATTTGCATTGAAACTGATCAATAAACATAACCTGGTGTTATTTTGGCAACCCTTGCCATAATTAGATGAAAATTTACAGCCTGAAAATTTAAATTTGCTTGTGTGTGTATGGCTGCAACCTAGCACTGAACCGGGGAGATCACGCACTCCCTGTGATGCAAAATAAGCATCCTTCATTTGCTCTATGGATGTTTTATCGTCATCCATATGATGTAGTTTTGAGAGTGGGAAGTGACACAAAATTTCTAGGTGTCAGGGGCTGTAGAACAGCAGCTATCCAAGTTTCAGTAGCACCCTGCTTTAAAACAAAATCTTGTTTCACCACCAGTACACTGAAGCTCTTTAGCTCTTAAAACAGCATCCATTCACTTTTGTAGGCCATTTTGTATCCATAGTCACAGGAAATTAGCGTATCCATTGATCTGAAAAGCAAACCACATCACTTAGCCTCTGTGCACCTTGTGCTTCACTGTTGGCACTAGGTCCTAATGAATTGTTAAGTTGAATCACCTCTGCAGGAAGGTATAAACACATGTATAAAAACCACAGAAGGAAACTAGTAACATAGTTAGTTAAAGTTGCAAGAGGGTCCGTATTAGCCAACAGCCATATCTGCAGGTAGAAGAACTCCTCAAATGACCAATTACTATGTTGGAACATGGGGTGCCAGTGGTGCCAAATTACTATTCTGGCACATGCGGTGCCAATAAAAGGATCTTCATTCATGCCTCCTACTATGGAATAAACCATGTGGTCAATCTTTTAGCAAATGGACAGATTTATTCCCAGTAGCCACCTTGTCTCCTAGACAACCTTCAGTCCATCCTGTGTCCTAGACAACCTTCAGTCTATCCTGTGTCCTAGACAACCTTCAGTCCATCCTGTGTCCTAGACCTAGACAACCTTCAGTCTATCCTGTGTCCTAGACTACTTTGTGTTCACCTAGACATCCTGGGGGTTGATTTACTAAAAACACATATACTGTGTGCTTTACACGTGTAGTTGTTCCAGAGCTTAGTAAATGAGGAGAAGCTTAATTTTGCAAAGAATACCCAATCACATGCAAGTACATGTAAAACAAAAAAAGCATTTTTTCGTGCACACAATTGAATGATGGAAGTCAGCAGAGCTTCCCCCCATTTAAAATTGCTCAATTTATTTGCCTTTAGTAAAAATGAACCCCTTGTGTCCTAAACAGACTTGGTCCACTTTGTGTCCTAGACACCTTATGTCCACTTTGTGTCCTGGACACCTTATGTCCACCTTGTGTCCTAGACATCTTATGTCCACCTTGTGTCCTAGACAACCTTATGTTCACCTTGTGTCCTAGACAATCCTGAGTCGATCCAGTCTCCTAGACAACCTTATGTCCACCTTGTTTCCTAGATAACATTGTGTTCTAGATGCTAGCAGGTTCACGGGCTGCTCAATCCAAGAAACATCATCAGAGTTGGCCACCTTTTGGCCCTGACTAGTAAGACAGGAATACAGAATATCATCCCATTAGGAATCTGGAACATCAATGTGGTACCCAGCTTTGTGTTCTGTACAATACTTCCTAAAACCAAGACACCACCAAGGACAAAGATGGCACAAGTTTCTAGTGACTCTGTTGGTTGGCAAAGTGTTCTCCCTATAAAATGGCTTCATCTGCTGTGTATGAAAGATCCTCAAAGTAGTAAAAAATCCAATGGCATTCGTCATGTAGGGATTTCCTGCACTTATAGGTCTTATTTTTGGAAGTATCTGGAGAAATTGCTCGTTGGACATAGCAACCAATTGATGGAAGTATCGGGCAGGACTTGTCTTGTTGCCTATAGCAACCAATTGATGGCAGTATTAGAAGGGACTATGCTTGTCACCCACTGATAGAATTAGAAAGAGAAGGTAGAGTATGACTGGCTGCCAAGAGCAACATAAGTCTGCATATTCTGCTATAGGACTGTGTATTTCAGAAACAATTGCCTTTTTTGTCATGAAAATCCTTTGTTCAAGTTTTGTCACTCCAAACCGGCTGGCTTCCCAATAGTAACAATGATGGACCATATCTTAGCAAACCGTCAGCATGATCCTTGCAATCTCAACCATGTGAGAGGGCGACAAAGAAGGAGTAGAACTGGGAGATAGTTGTCCTCCCGTAACAGAAAGTGCCTGAAAAAAAAGACCCTCATGAATCTACGTAAACATGATAAAAATAACTATAGGAAACCTTCTCTCTACTCCATTTTACTGAGGCTCCACTGGGTGCACATTTAAACATCTAGGCCAAGTTAAAAGCAGGCCAATTTCTGCATTTTGCATATTTTTCGAAGTTTGTGTATGGTGTATATTACATTCACATTCTTGCATGGAAAAAAATTAGCAGAATTGTATAGGGAACTGACAAAGGAGTGGTTTGGTGAGAATCGCCTCTTTCGTGTGGAAATTACTGAAGGTTTCACACTTCCAGGAGGAGATTCCAGACAGAAACCGCTCGCTCGTCAATTCTCCCAGTGGATGCAGCAGCCCACAGGGAAACACCTATTAGTGTCAAACTGATGGCGCAAGTGAATAATAGCTGCCTGTATTATCCTACACCCCACTCCAGACACAGCTGCACTTCGCCTCAATTATTTTCCATTGTGCAGGAGCTTTAATTAGGCCGAGAATAGCAGGCGCATGTCTGAGGCTCGAGAAAAACGGTCAGAAGGAGGTGCTGGGAAGACGGAATAACCTACTTTTATCAGAACTTAATAGATTCTGCCCTAAAAAATCTGAAAGCTAATGCGGTGCATGCATGGATGTTTTAACTCAAACCAAGCCATGTTAATACTACTTTATAGCACAAAATATTGTTCACAAAAAGCCTAAGAGAGCTTTTAAAGCTTACGTTTATAGCTAACAAAAGCTATCATATTAACTCAAATGTAGAAGCTAAATTTGCACAAAAATTTGAGCATCTAGGTTGCAGATTTAAGGGACTTTCTGTAAATTGCATTTTCTTATAAGAGTACTCCCGATTTTGATATGCACATGCTTCCTTTGCAAGTTTTTCTATTATAAAACTTTAATGAAGGCAATTGCTATTAATGAATCAAGCGCTTTTTCTTTAATTCTCTTGTGATTGGGATGTATAGCCTTAAAAACGTGCAAAATGTGTGCTGTTATCAAAGAGATGTGTCAGGGACCCCTACATGCACTAGATAGCAGCCCACTATGCATGTATTTTTGGATCATCCTACAGCCTTATGAAATAATATTTTACAAGCATGTATGTTGTTCCAGCCATTGGAGAATGTATTGAGTAGCGACTCTGTCCCCAAGCAGGCTTGACCAGGGCTTACATGTATACCAATGAAATTGATGGATAAGGCAAAAAAATTTGCCTGTAGTTCTCACAAGTAATTGAGAACCCCATCCCGACCAATTTTAGGACATTGGATATGAGAAAGGGAAGTGAACTTTTAATTATTGTTTACAAAAATAGTAAAACTGGATAGACTGTAACCAAGAAATGGACAGAATTGAAACATTAATTTAAAGGTATTTTGACTATTGTGTTTGCTTTTTTTCCCCTTATGTCGTATTTCATCCTTGTTTTGCAAATATTTTCATGCCATGTATATATACTTTTGTTTTCACAGACAAGCAGAATGATGTGGAGATCCCCTCCCCAACACAGAAAGACCGTGAGAAGAAGAAGCGGCATCAGTTAATGACGCAGATTAGCGGAGTAAAAAAGTTGATGCATAGTTCCAGCCTCAACAACACGAGCATGTCCCGGTTCGGAGTCAAGACAGAACACGAAGACTTGCTGTCTAAAGTACGAATAGATTTTGTGTTTTATATTATGACGGTCAGCAATGACCTTACACAGATGGAATAATATAAGACTTAAGACTGGGGAGTGATGCTGAGTGACAGCTGTGCTCAGGCAGACCACTTTCCACTTTGGTAGCTTTTCAAGACTTGACAGGAGGCCACCCAGTGAGGTGTATATATGTTCCTCCAAGCTCAAGGAAACAGGTGACATTGGGTCATAAATAGTGCATTGTAAACATGGAGAAACCATTCTCTTATTGTAAAGGCACCCTGTCAAAGGCAAAACATCTGTGTGATCAGGCTTTACCATAGGCTGCAACACTCCGACTCATGGTATATGCTAGTACTGGGGCAGCTCTATTAATCCTAGGCACCGAGTCACTGGCCATGGACTAGTTTGTGGAACATGAGTATGCCTCCATGATGTCTTTCTTATATGGGTTTTGGTTCATAAAAGAATCATGGTTGAAAGACATCTGCAGAATTCCCTGATCTGTAAAGAAGTGGCTGATGCCCAGTAAAATCAGGCAAAATGTTAAAAACATAAAAATAAATTATAACAATGATGTGTTAGAAGACAGAGTGGAAGGTACCATGGCAGATTAACAAAGTTTAATGGCCCAGTGTAAGCTCAACTTTACCTACAGGTTTGCCTTGGAAATTAAATGTCCAACCTCCAGATTTAGCAGTAAAGCCTCCTATAGCACACTGGGTGGTACAATATTTCATTCACATCAATCTCTGCTTCACAGAATGTTACAATCTAGAGCCAATTTTATATTCCTGTTAAAGAATAACTCTACTCGGATATAAAATACACAAATGAACTCAGTTACATACTGTACATCATTAAATGAACTTTTGCAAGCAATGCAAGTACCTAAATAGGTTTTTTTCAGTCCTTGTACAGCAGAGACTCAGGCTGGGAGAAGGAGAAGCAACACAAGGAGCCAGTCAGTTGTACTGCAGTGCTCAAATAGTAATAAAGGACATTCTGATAGGAGGGGATCAGTGTCAGAGCAAGAGGCTAATCAGTCTGCTGCTTCTTCTTTCACTGTCCTATCCTTCTTTCACTGTCCAATCACAGGCTGGGAGAAGGCCAAGACCTATACGTGTTAGTTAAGTACAGCTGAAAAAAATCCAGTCTTCTGCCCTGTTAGACAGGGCATGCTGTGTGCCAGAACTGTGTAAATCGTACAACTGGACAGACAGAAACAGCTCCCACATATGTATCTCATGTGTGTATTTAGCTGTTTGCATAGAGTTCAGCTTTTTAATTCATTTGTATGAAATACTACGCTCATTGAATTTGAAAGATTTCCTTTCTGCATTTTTTTAAAAATTTGTGTTCATTCTTTCTTCAGGAATTGGAGGATCTGAACAAATGGGGACTTAACATCTTCAAGGTAGCAGCCTATTCTTGCAATAGACCACTTACCTGCATCATGTACGCTATATTCCAGGTCAGTATCAAGAATCATTAACTGGACAAAATGTTTTTTATCTTTCAGTTTTGTTAAGAAAGATTCTTTTTTTCCAATTTTTTTGAATAAGCTGAAATCTGTTTACTATTTTACTACACAGGAGAGAGATCTGCTGAAGACTTTCAAAATTCCCACAGACACACTAATCACCTACACAATGACCTTAGAAGATCACTACCACTCAGATGTCGCCTATCATAACACCCTCCATGCTGCTGATGTCACACAGTCCACTCATGTGCTCCTCTCTACTCCAGCTCTGGATGTAAGTAATGGGGAAACCTTGGAGAAAAATATAGCAGGCAACGGGGAACACTGGGTAGTTTTACAATTCATGTTTAAAGAGATATAATTAAAGTATGTCTAAATCCAAAACTTGTTACATTTTGGATTGAGGAGGGCAAAGTTAAAACCTCTGTCAGTTTTTTTGGGGGGTTTTCCGCCATCTGTGTCCCATTGGGGAAATTTTCCTTCACTCCCTGTTCTGTAGACACAATAGGAAGTGAGAGGAAATGTCTCCAAAGCAAGAAGCGAATGTTGCCACCAGAACAAGTATTCTCATTGAGGGATTTCCCTTCTATTCCTGTGCATATTTTGAATTTATCATCACTTTCAATCCTAGGGACTGTAGTTACCAGGACAGATAGAGAAAGTGAATATCGCTAGCAGAGACACAGGCTGCAATAAAATCCATGCTCTATCCAAGAGTAAAAAAGACTTTAAGATACACTTTACAGGCTGATGGCTAAAGATTGAGTAGGCTTCTTTTAATGGTGAATAAACCAAAAAAATAAAGGTGTTCATGTCAGTCATTTGATAGATATCACTGCAGTTTAAGTGGGACTGTAGTAACGGAGGATAAAGCTGCAAAACCATCACAGCTGTCCCCAATGATTATTTCCCACAATTCCCTGCTAGCATACACTTGGAGCTTGTGCCATTGCACCAGTTGTCCACCAATCATCCACTGGAAACCCTTTAGCCAACCATAGATGGGCATGTGTCTCACTTGAAACTAATGGACAGCGAGACATCTGTCTAGCCTTGCTCACACCGCTTGGGGTTAACAGGTGAATGCGGTGACCGGCTCCATCCATGATTTATTTTTGACAGTGGTTTGGGTTACTTTTGGCTAGTGGTTAGCTAGTGTTACATTTTTTGTTATTATCTTGTAGCCCTGAAAATGCACAAGGGTAGAAACATTTGCTCTGAAACAAGTTTTTATGAAAAAATATTATTTTCCAGGCTGTCTTTACCGACCTGGAAGTCCTTGCCGCAATTTTTGCAGCCGCCATCCATGATGTAGACCATCCAGGAGTCTCCAATCAATTCCTAATCAATACAAGTAAGTCTTCCTTGCTTTGTAGTGTCCATTAAGCATCTTGTATAGAGTGCTGAGGAAACACAAATACCTATCTTAGATTTGTTTTAAAGTAATGAGGACTTTTAATAAGTAGTCATGCAGTAAGATGATAAAGCAGTTTTAGGACTGCTACAAACACTGCTACAGACATCCTGTTAACATACAACTTTACCTACATTCATGTCTGGTGGGTATCCGTGTTGATGATAGTCATCTTTGGGGGATATCTCCAAAAAAGCATAATCCATTTATTGCTCTGTTATGGGCAGATTAGGTACTTTATTATGCCTAGTAGGGCCATGTTAAGGCCAGTGTCCTTATCAGATAGTTGTGGCTTTTTTAATTTGTATCTTATAGGCAGAGGATCATGGTTCACTGTGATAAATTAGTTTTAAATATATTTTTTTAAAGATCACTAAATCATAATTTCATTTCCAGATTCTGAACTTGCACTTATGTACAATGATGAGTCTGTCCTGGAGAATCACCACCTGGCTGTGGGCTTCAAGTTGCTGCAGGAGGAAAATTGTGACATTTTTCAGAACCTTACCAAGAAGCAGAGGCAATCACTCAGGAAAATGGTCATTGACATGGTAAGAATCTTTTAGATTATAATTGTCAAGGGGTGTTGAAGTTTCAGAAGAGCTACAAGTGGAGGAAAGGATGAGACAGGCTAGAAGCAGTGTGTGGAGGATATGAAGGAATAGAAGTGGAGGGCCAGATAAGATGTGCTAGAAGTGGTGGAGAGGATATGATAAGCTTGTAGTGGTGGGGGATATTTGATGGATAAAAAGTGGTGGGGAGATGACATGTGTTTTATGTAGCTTCCAGTTTATTGGAAATTCTGTAGACATTGTGGCATGATTTTATTATTTTTTATATAATACAGGACCTGTTGCTAAAATTATTGCTCAAAGGCAGCCTTTATCATGCAAATATTTGACCAGCACTAGGTTAGGCTATTTTTTATTCATTTTATTTCTTCTTTATAGGTGCTTGCCACAGACATGTCCAAACACATGAGCCTACTGGCCGATCTGAAGACGATGGTAGAAACTAAGAAGGTTACCAGTTCTGGTGTTCTTCTGTTGGACAACTACACTGACCGCATACAGGTATATTTATAAATAAAAAACTATAAGTCCTAGTATTCTCCTGAAAAGTCATATTTTGTTTTTTTGTAGCATTAAGCCTTTTTGCTGTTAAATTTATTTTTCGGATTGCGTAGTTGAGTTTTAAGGTCTGCACATCTGTTGTGGTTCCACCTGATTTTAAGTTATTGTTATATTATGGAAAACATAGAAGGAGGACAGGGAGCATTCCAACGTGCGTGAGAATAGAAGTAGGACTATAATGCTCTTATTTAGTTGTTCTTCCAAATAATTTAGCTTTTTTAAAGTGTACTTATAACCAAAACTTTTCTCTATAGTTTTGGACAGAGTAGGAAAGGAATAAAACTTTTCTCAGTTTACTTCTATAATTTCCATCACCTCCTACTCCAGAAATACACTAAGAAGTAAGAGGAAATTCATTTTGTTAGGTAGTTGCCCCAGAAAAGGCGTTTCCATTAGAAGATTTCCCCTACCTTTCTGTTCTGGTGACAATCATTTGGATTTCTAATTATTCTCCTGGTGACAGTGTATTCCAGAACAAACAGAGGGTGAATCTACAAAGCATGGACATAGACTGCAATAAAAAAGTAAAAAAATCTGTTTGAGTTATGCATAGTTTTTTTAGTCGATGGTCTTCATTTACAATAATATCTGAAAAGACCACTGTAATATTGAAAAGACCACTGTATGTGGTGTTCATAGCAACCAATCAGATCATCCCTTACATTCTTGAAAAATGAAAAGAGATTTGGTTAATTTGGGCAACACAAATAAAGTCTTCTTTGCTAATGTGTATTCAATGGTTATTAGGGTAAGGGGGTTCAGAAATATGACTAGTTCATGACATAGGTAACCGATCAATCTTTTAGAAGATCTTCTGTGGCGCCAAGCAGATTTGGATCTACAGAGAGACATTTCCTCCTAGAACAGGACCAGAAATTATCCCAGGATTTCATAAATCACACCAGCAGGATTAACTGACAATAGGCCTTTCAGCTAGTGCAACCCAGTGACTGCCAGCATTAGACATTACTGGCAAATCCTCTTCTTTACAGAGTGATGTACAGTTTACCTTCGTGTTACAAAATATAAACAAATAGACTTCAGGAAATGAAAAAGTCCAGCAAAATATGTTTTTATGCTCCTGTTTGGAACCTTTCTTCATGTTCTTGTTGTAATGATGTGGAACAGAACGTTGAGATCTGTTACTGAACTTAAGTTGTTCTTTCTTGTAGGTTCTCAGGAATATGGTGCACTGCGCAGATTTAAGCAATCCAACAAAATCTCTGGAGCTCTACCGGCAGTGGACAGACAGAATCATGGAGGAGTTCTTCCAGCAGGGAGACAAAGAGCGAGAACGGGGCATGGAGATCAGTGCAATGTGTGACAAGCACACAGCTTCTGTGGAAAAATCACAGGTATGTTTCTTCTCTGCTATATTGTCCACCTGTCTTACACTACTCCTCTATGACTCAGAGTACTTTTACATATTAGGCCAATCTACACCAGAGATATGTAGCAGTTGACCAATTACACCATCAGGTTTTACACTATTCCTCTGTGCCTTGTACGTTCATATAGTGGTCCAATCCAGACCAGAGAAGGATAGCTGTTAGGGAATTACAATACTAGTCTTCCACTCTTCCTCTGTGCCTAAAAGTACATTCAAATAATAGTCCAATCTAGACCAGTGATGGATAGCTGTTGAGGAATTATTGTAGTCACAAACCCTACAATCCTTGAGCCAAAAACCCAGAATTTGTCCAGAATTCAAAACTTTGAGATTACAAAGTCAACAGTGTTGAACAAAACTCTTTATTTTGAAAAAAAATTGGAGAACAAAAGTGTCCATGTTGCCCACGGCTCTACTACTTTTTAACTTCACTTAAAGCTAATATCAGAGCTGTTAAATGTTCCTTCCAGTTTAAGACTAAAGCCCAGGCAAACATATAAATATACAGCTGAAATACAAAGATGCAAGCTGTTTTACCACCTAGTCGTAAGATTTACACAGCCCTGCCATGCCTCAAAGAAGCATGTTTGTGACCTATAATCAACTGCAGTTAACCAACACAGCCTGGTCATCTCCCATCCTCCCAGCCTGTGACTGGACAGTTAAAGGGAAGCAATAGACTTATGAAGACATTATTCTCCCCTCTCCTCCTTAAACATCTTCTGTCTTATATACACTGTGGCACACCTGATAAGTTTTTAGTTCGGCTGTATGTGGGATTAAAAGAGGCTTACACCAAGTCAATTGGATACTTTTAGGGTTTAAGGTGTTTTTACAGTTCCCTGGAATTTGGCCTTAAACTTTATTTATCTGCTGTTGTTGCATATAGAGGACTAACTGTTCTTTCTTTCCTAGGTTGGCTTCATTGACTATATTGTCCATCCTTTGTGGGAAACATGGGCAGACTTGGTCCAGCCTGATGCTCAGGATATTTTGGATACATTGGAGGACAATAGGAACTGGTACCAAAGCATGATACCTCAAAGCCCTTCTCCTCTTTTGGACGAGCAGGACAAGGACTGTCCAGGGGTCTCAGAAAAGTTCCATTTTGAGCTGACTCTTGAAGAAGAAGATTCAGAAAGCCACGACAAAGAGGGGGACTGTATCAGTTACTATAGCAGTACGAAAACTCTTCATATGGTTGATCCAGGAATCGAGGACTCACCAGAAGGCGATGCAGAAATACTGACAGACGACACATCGCCTCTGGACACATAGGTCATGTTTGAATGGGAACTTTCAACCCAGGAGAACACATGCAGGTTGTCTTTGTTGACAAGCATGTAATCTTGATCTTTGGCCTCGGTTGAGAATGGCCAAGATCTTTGCAGCTGCTCGTCAGTGGAGTTGTGGCTGAGGGTGCCGAATTGAAAGATTGCTCAGGAAACTACCAAGTAATGTACGTTACTCTTCGGCATTGTTTTTCAGGAGGGGAAAAAAGGAAGACGTAAACACATGGACATGTTTTGAAAATAGCATGAGTGGTCAGAGAACTGTACAAAGCAAAGACACAAAACTGAGAGATTTTTTTGTTTTTTTTTACCGTGAAATTTTGAAAACATAAACCTAGTTAGAAGCTAGAAATGAATACTATTATTATTCGGTAGGTCTATGTCGAAACCCTGTCCAACTGTCTGAGGACGTGTGTGCCTTTTTTGTATAACTTCCATTGTCTGAAATGCCTATTAATTACACGATATTTAGTGTAAACCGAACAAGGAAATAACTTGTATATTTTAATTCTTTCTGGAAAGAGCAGTCTTCCTTTATCGTGGCAATATATGTGACTTTATCGCAATTATTCAGAATCAAAAAAAAAAAAAAAAAAGAGACAGTTTCCGTCTCTGGTCATCGCCATTCTCTCCATGCACCCAAAGTCATTTCACATTTTTTGCTTGATACAAAGATATGTGTTAAGATTGTTGCTTTCTGTAGAATCTCTTCTGCACAATCTATTAAAGAGGTAGCCTTTTTTTTTCCCCCTAACGTGCATCCACTACATTTGACGATCGGAAGGCGGTGTGTGTTGTAATGTGTATGACCACGTTCTGCATGTTTTTTTTTTCCAATACTTCCTCCTGTCATCCTGTCATCTATAAAGCGAGACCATTGTTTTTATCTTGCACTGCCTCAAGTCCTGACACGTACTTTTACTGTTTATAACAGTGTATTATTATTATTATAATTATTATTATGTAAATATTGTACTGTTTTCTAACTTATTAATTTATATAAATTAACATTGCCTGTCACTGGTGGTGTTGTTTGATGGTTTAGAAAAAAAGGAAAAACTCTACATCAGAGTTGAATTTTTTTTCTCTTGTATAATTTGTTTTTATTAGAAATGTTTACCTGAACAGTGACTCCCAAAAGACATACTGAATCCAGGCTAGCACTTAGGAAGAATGATTATTAATTACGCTATAGGACCAGGGATCCCTGCAGGCATTAAGGGACTACAAAGCCCACAAATTGGACTTTTATTTCCTCAATGGTGACAGGTACAGCAAACCTCGTCTTGAGTGCTTCACTATCACTCCTGTACAAAAAAAAATCCCAAACCCTAAAATATTTTAGTTAGAATTACAGAGAAATTTGTTGTTCTATGAATATTATTACTAAACGTCAATATTTTGCTTGTGTATTTTTTTTTTTAATTGAAAAACAAAATGTATGCATTCTGAGAACTTATATCGGTCTCGGCTTGTGCAATGTTTGAAGTTTTGGTCCGATTAGTGACCCGTCCCTCGTGTCCGGAGTAAGTGCACTAACTTGTGCATGGCGTATGGGTCTGTATGTCTGTTGACACTGCATTGTTCCAGGTGTAGGCTCTTATTTTGACAAAGTTTCACACAAAGTATGTTAAAGTATTGTATATTGTGCTACGATGCATTCTTAAAAGAAAATAAAAAAGTTTTTTATATTAAGTGAATAAAAAGAGGAGCATGAAAAACCTAATGTTTTGGTGTTGTTTTCTTTTTTTTAAACGTGGTATATCCAGGGCTGTGGATAAGGGGGTACCACTGGTCCTCCTGTATGGGGCCCAGACCAGCAGGAGGGCCCAAGCAGCTGGGTGAATTGGATGTGAGCAGGGTTGGTGATTGGCAGTAGGGGCGGGGGGGGGGGGGGGGCAATTACTGGAACTGATCCCTTGTATGGCTGTCTCTGCAGCACCCTCACAGTGCATCATACATTTCCCCATGCTGCCCAAGCCCCTCTGTGTGCCTCACCCCCTGCAGTGCTGCTGGTTTCCCTTCTCTCCTTCACACCGGCAAATGGAAGAATACAATAGGATGGAGAGCGTGGGAAGGGTCTGTAAATATGTAACTTTTACCAGCCTGAATGAACACAGTGGTCATCGGTAGCGATCACTCACTGTGTTCATTCATAAACTCTAGCATAATAAACTGTGTTTATTTGGGGGCCCTGTTACATTGGCTGTGTGGGGCCCGGTGGTTTCTAACAGCAGCCCTGGGTATACCTACCAAGATAATACCATTCCTGAATTATTCATAGGTGTGGGTGTGGCCAATAAAGTGGGTGGTGCTTCACTGTGTATGGCTTGTAGTGTGGCACCTTTCCCTCTTTGCCTTGCTATGTTTTAAACAAAATAGGTCCTGGAAGTATACTGAAGGGAAAATTAGAGTAAAAGAAACTCAGGTGTTCAATGGCAGTCATAATAATCCCCTTTTATTGGTGTCCACTGCTACTTCTATTCCCAAGAACATTGGGCCAGAACTGTACTATCGCTGTCAGGTGGGAGATCAGTCTGCCAACCAGTACTGTCATTATTTCAGTGTTGGAACTTCATAAGTTCAGATCAGAATCGTGCAGGACATGGAGAAATAAACTGGCTTTCTTTAAATAGGTATTTAACCACCTCCCGTCTGGCCCATGTATATAAACGGCCGGAGGGTGGCAGTGCAGGGTCGGGTGGCCGTATATAAACGGCCTCCCCGCACCCTGCTTGTGCGAGCTCCCTGGGAGCGCGCAGCACCACGATCTGGTGCCCGCTGTGTCCTCCGGACACAGTGGAATACTGATCGTTGGACGGGACCTCTGTGCAAGGTCTTGATCATGTGATCACTGATTGACCAATCAGTGATCACATGCAGAGTAGTAAGCAAGATGTCACTTCTGACATCATTGCTTACTGCGTGTGAAATCTGTGAATGATCAGAGGTCACATGGTACAAGGCTATTCACAACAGCCAGGCTATTCACAACAGCCTTGTACCATGTGACACGCTGTGACCAATCACAGCTCACACAGTAGTTCTCAATGGCTGCAAGAATGCAGCTAGAGAGAAGGAGAAATGATTGCTTTTACAGCCTTTATGGGTGTAAAAGCAATCAGTGTAAAAAACAAATCTTCATCACCCCCCACAAGTAGTACAGTGTCACCATGGTGACACTGTACTGCTAGGGTGACAGTATGTAATAAAAAAACCCATAAATAATACTATAAAAAAAAAAAAAAAAATAAAAAAAAAATGTTTAAAAATTATAATTTTTGGTTATAAACTATTTTGTGTTTTTGTTTTTTTTCCTAAAAAGATAACGGAATAAATTTTGGCCAAGATTTAGGATGAAATATTATTTATTTGCAAAATTTTATAAGAAAAACACTTTTTTTCAAAATGTTTTCATTTACATAGCAAAAAAAATAAAAATCCCAGTGGTGAATAAATACCACCAAAATAAAACTTTGTCTGTCTCAAAAAAATGCTAAAAAATTCATATGGGTACAGTGTTGCATGACCGCGCAATTGTCATTCAAAGTGTGATAGCACCGAAAGCTGAAAATTGGCCTGGACAGGAAGGGAGTAAAAGTGTCCGGACTGGAAGTGGTTAATAAAGCTTCACTTTGGACTTTTTGACCATTGTTGTGGCACTCATACTGCTTCCTGTTAAGTTAGATTTTTGCTGATGTCTGTGTCCCTGTTAAGAAGATTCACCCTTCTATTTGCCAGAACAGGAACAAAGGTGAAATATTTAACAGGGACATTTGTTCTTGTGACAACTGTCTAAGGGGTGATTTCCCTCACTTTGGAGTGATTTCTGTTGTGTTTACAGGTAAGGAACTATATTCCCAATTGGACACAAAAAAAAAACTGACGGGTTCTAACCCTTCCCTGTGCAAGATGAAAACACATTTTTGACTTTAGATTAATTTCTTCTTTTTCTTTTGGTGGAAAGGTCTTATTTTTTAAATGAATTATTTAATGTTACTTAGCTCCTGCAGTCTTTTCAATTTCCTGGAGTAGTTCTTTAAGAACACATCTCGCAACTAAGAACTTGATTCTACATGAAGAGCTATGTATAATGTTTTTGTTAATATGGTAAACAAATCTGTGCAAATAGAACAGCACTGCCCACTAATATCTACCTAATACCTAATTCAAAAAATAAAATAAATACGTCAAGTGATGAAATACGTAGGGCAGGGCCAGGAGGTGACGTCACCACGCACGGCGGTGTTGTCTCACGGTAGTTGTTTACATACGGATGGAGATAACCGTACTTACGATTTTATGCCATTTCACTTGTGTCAGTTGAGACATTGAACAATGTGAGTGTATATGCTTTGCAGTTTTAATAAATACTTTAAATGGTTTTATGCTATGGAGGCTCCTTGTTTTCCATGAGTGAAATTGGTATATCAATTTAAGAAGTCCTTGAAGATAGGATTGCGGGCTGCAGACTGTCACTCCCAGAGCAACAAGCGCTTATGCTAGTCTATAATTTCACCAGCATATCGCTTTGGTGAGTTTATCCAATTTATCTGGTGGCGGATAGAGCACATTTTTGGTGGTATCATTGGCATGGTAAAATTTGCACAACAAACAGCACTTTATTCACGTATTGGATGGACACAAGTACGGTAGTTATGTTGGATTTTGTGATGATGTGACTATGTCTCCTATACCTCTGATTCACATGTAGTATAAATGCAATATAATATGTGACTAATACATAATGTTCTTTCTCATCACATATAAATATAAAAAAAAAACAATATTATAAATTATTAAAGTGATTAGTGCAATCAAATAAATGAATAAAGAGCAAAAGATGTGTCTATTAAAGTCATTTAATAGACACATCTTTTGCTCTTTATTCATTTATTTGATTGCACTAATCACTTTAATAATTTATAATATTGTTTTATATATTTATATGTGATGAGAAAGAACATTATGTATTAGTCACATATTATATTGCATTTATACTACATGTGAATCAGAGGTATAGGAGGGTTTGTTATATGTAAATCAGTTTTTTTGCACAATTTCTTGCATAATTTTATATAGGGGGATATTTTTATATATTTTATTTTTTGGATTAGGTATTGTAGATATTAGTGGGCACCGCTGTTCTATATGCACAGATTTGTTTTTATTAATGGGATTCCATTAAGAACATCAGCTACCCGTTAGTTTTGTGTTTTTCTCTGTGAGTGGTGCAAGGGTCCAGAGTTCAGTCCTACATATTATATTTAATATGGTACAGACTTTGCGTTTCTTGAAAATTCAGCATATTGCTTTTTCTGCCCACTTATCCCACAGGAAAACAATGCAATTTAGGACTAAATGCACATAGTTGCAATATTAAAAGCACATGTACTGTATATTTAACCACACACACATGTGAATGGACCCTCCGGGTTTTCAAAGTTCATTGTCTAGACCAGCCTCTGGCAGCCCTTTTACCATGGAAGAACCCTAGAAATAAATTCAGGCCTCAGGGAACCCTTATTATTGATTGCTATATGTACATACTTAGGCCCCTTTCACACTGATGTAGTGTGTTTTTCCAGCAGGATTTGTGCTGCTTACCTGCACTTTGCCATAGACTTCTATTGCATCGGGCAGCTTTGGTGCATTTTCACATTTTCATTTACACCCAAAATTCCTGCATGCAGGGAAAACTGCAACACACCAGCATGAAAGAGCCCTTAGCATATTTAACACCCAGCCTGCTATCTTCATCAACATTTATTTCGACAATAAAAATGAAAAGAAACAAATAATTGTAGAAAAGAGACACAGTCATTGGAAATGGTGTTCACTCACATTGTTGTACGGGCAGAAATGCCCCCTTCTACTGATGGCCAGTGAAATCCACTAGAACAGTGGTTCTCAACCTGTGGGTCGTGACCCCTTTGGGGGTCGAACAACCCTTTCACAGGGGTCGCCTAAGACCATCTGAAAACACATATTTTCGATGTGTAAAAAGCAGCTACTGTGTAGAAAGCAGCTGCTGTGTTAAAAGCAGGTACTGTGTTGAAAGCAGCAGTATTGGAGGTAAAACGACACTCATGAATTATAATTACTGGGTAAATAATTTTATGGTTGGGGGTCACCACAACATGAGGAACTGTATTAAAGGGTCGCGGCATTAGGAAGGTTGAGTACCACTGCACTAGAACATTGGGGGGTCAGTTGAAAAGAGCCCCCTTAGACTGGTGATCAATGGCAGAATGACCCTCATATTACTGTTCATTAAGGGAAGAACCCCACTACACTGGTGGTCAGAGGGAAGAATATTCCTTACATTTGCACTCAATAGGAAGATTTCCCTCCTTATAGATAGCTAAAAGATCACTGATATCAGTGGTTATTGATTTGAAAGGCAGACATTGCCTATTGCTGAAGGAACCCAGACACTGTCTATTCCTCAAGGAACCCAGATATTGCCTATTGCTCAAGGAACCCCTATCAACCCTGGAGTACCCCTAGCAGTCCACATGACCCTGGTTGATAATAGCTGGTCCAGTCCTTTGATGGTGACTGCTTGCTTTACAAGTTACAAGTGACTGAAACTTGTGAATGGGGCACTGTGGCTTAGTGGTTGGCACTTTTGCCTTGCAGCACTGGTGTCTCTGGTTGTTAAATTTCTTCTGAGGTTAATTGGCTCCTGTCTAATATATGTATGTATTTAAGATAGGGTCCTTAGACTCTAAGCTTCTTAAGGGCTAGTTTACACTATGCCCTGATATGAATCATACACAGGGGCAGACTGACAACTCATGGGGCCCCCGGGCAATAGGGGATCATGGGGCCCCTGTGTCCTTGCCCAAACTCAAAAAAGCCTATAAAAAAGGTACCAGGGGCATCTCATGGGGCCCCCTACTGACCACGGGCCCTCGGGCAGTGCCCAAGTTTCCAAGTGGTCAGTCCGCCCCTGATCATACAGGAACACACTGTGCATTTCTGCGCAATTCATATGTGGGTCTATGCGGTGCGATTTCATGCCCATTCATTTGAATAGGATGAAATTGCACAGCAGCGCGCTAAAAGTAATGCATGCACTACTTTTTTTTAAACGCACGGCAACTGCATCGCCTGGTACTTTGTACCATGCGACTTGGTGCCAGCAGGTGCGGGCAAATGCAATGCTTGTGCGACCTGCGTTCGGGGTGTCGTTAACTTTAACTGACCCCCACAGCAGATCGAAAGGGCATTGCAATCGGAATGCGGTGCAGGAAGCCGCACAGGAACGCGGCTCTACCACACCACATTCCAGTGTGAAAGATCCCTGAGGGTAGGTACTGATGTGAATGTATAGTATGACAACTGTAAATTGTTAGCGTTGTATGAATGCCTATAATAAATAAGTAAAATAATACATTCACCTCTTTCACACTGTTCTATATTAAAATGCTTTTTAGCACATCGAAATTGCACTTTGTATCTCAGATCAATGAACTCTCAGGAGATCTAAATCTCCAAGCTCCCAGGATCAGGGCCCTCCTTTCCCTCTTGTATTGAACTGTATTGTCTCCCTTTATATTGTAAAGTGCTGAGCAAACTGTTGGCGCGATATAAATCCTGTATAATAATAATAATCCTATACCCACAGCTAATCCAGAGGCAGGCAAAAAAAACCCCCAGAATAAATCAGATACAATCCTTGGATGCCATAGCCTTGCAGCACTTTTTATTACAGGACTGGGGGGGGGGGGCGTCAACTGGATGAGGAAAAAAAAAGCAGAAGAAAGGGTGCAACCACCTTTGTGCTTTAAAACCGACAATGTTTAAAGTGGTATTAAACCCTATAGTCCTTCATCATAAAAGTCATAATATCATTTGCAAACTTCACCCTACCATTAATACAGAACTATATGACTCTTTTGTTATGCCCAATGTGTTTGGTGGTATCATCCATTATTCATTGCTCCCATAGAAGCCACTGCCAACTTATATATTTTCTTTTTTTTACAACCCCAAACTTTACTTCCCTTACACCTTGTAATCTTGCACATGTATACAGAACCTGAGCCAAGCCAAGAGAAGTAAAGTTTTCTGGAGACACGTACTGGAGATTGAATATTATGTCACCCCGGCAAGCCACTCTGTAGATCATGAAATAAAAGAAAATTAATCCTGCGCCAAAACGCAAATTAAATAAATCACCCTTCTAAATTGCTACTGTGCAAAATTGTGAATACACAAACATTAAAATATATGAATAAACAGCGCAAAACTTGAGAACGCCCGATGGGAGCGGCGAAACGCGTTGACGCATTTCCGGTTCATTCGCCTTACGTCTGATGTCACTTCCGGTGAGTGGAACGTACGCCGAGCGGTGCGTTCCAGCGGCCATTTTGTGGGATTTAGGTTGGCTCTCTGCTGTTCATCTGCTCTATCTGGCTACATTGGTGTTGGAACCCTGGAGTATGTTGGCTGGATGTGATCATCAGGATGTCATGGGCTTAATAAATGTGCCTTTTACAAGCTATTGAAATGTGAGTGGCCTGGATTCTGTTCGTTATTGTACAAGATTGATCTGGCAATTATACACTATGTGAGTTTTCTCTTTGATGATACGGTGGAGCAAACTTGGGAGCTACGGTGAGGACCTGTAAGAGGATTTTATCTTAGAGAGGCTATCATTGAGCTGATGGAAAGAGGGTATAGGATTCCCATAAGATCCTAAAAGCTTTTCATTCACCAAAATCTGGTGAGTGCATTTGATTTTGGTGTGCATGGGTGAAAGGTGGAAAGCTAGAAAAATTATTTGGAGTTCGTATTTTTCACCACAAGGGACTTTTTATGGTGTCCTTTTCTTGAAAGAAATTTTCTCTGACACAGATATGCACTTAATGATATGGAACATTTATATTTTGTGATTTATTAATAACTGATTTTAGGTCTACTTTTGCGCTGTTTATTCATATATTTTACTCTGTAGATCATGGCACAGACATACATGGCTAGATCTCTCTCATTCAACCCAGAGAAAATCAATAGATTCCTCCATCCACGCTAAATAGCGTGCATTCAGCAATCTGCACTGCTGGCTACTGTATGCAAACAGCCACAGCACCCATGACTGCCTTAGGGCTCATGTACACGGGGCGTTTGAAAAACTTTTCTGAACGCTAGAAACTGACTGCTAGAAAAGGTAGGTTAAAAACTTCAGTTTAGCTGCGTTTACCTACCGCATTTAGCTGCATTTATGAATGTTTGCGTTTATGCGCATTTTTAAAAGATAACCTCAGGAGATCCTCCCAAATGCCCAGAATGCACTGAAAAATAAATAATTAACTATTTCAGACATTTTGTGAGAAATATAGCATAAGCAGAGAGAGCACTACTTTCTGATGGGTGTTGCAACTGTAGCAAAAGTGGCTCGTTAAACATGCGTGGCACTGTGGGAGGAGCTACATAGTGCTGTAATGCCTCTGGATGCATGCTGGAGTGCACACAATACTCCTTGTGCTTTTTTGCTGTGTTTTGATGTGTTCCAGTACAGTCCTGTGTAGAAATAATGCGGCACGTTCTACCATTTTTTTTCCTTTACGTGAAACCTGGAACTGACTGTGCTGGTGTACCGGGTCCATTTGAATACATGGAAAATGCTGTGTATGCATTTTTGATGAAGAAAAAAGGCTCCGGACAGCATCTGGATATGGGCCAGCCCAAAAACGTGTCTAAACGAAAATGCGCATAAACGCATTTACACGCGGTTACAAGCAGTTGAAATGCTGTTAAAATCCTCCTGAACGCAATTTTTGTTCTTTCAAAAAAATGTCTGTAACCTCAACTGCCTGTAAACTACTGTAAGCAACAATGTGTACATAGACATATAGGAAAACATAAAGGAGAGTTCAGGGGCTGCTGAAAAAAACGCACAACTGCTCCTAAACTTCAGTTTAGCAGCTGCAGTGTACATGAGCCCTTAATACCTGAGCATCGACTGCATGTAATAAAGTAATCACTGTTAAAGAAAAACTTTTGCATGGGGCTTGTTCGACTTTTGTTTGAAACAGTTGGTGCCAGCAGGGCTGCCTGTAGGACCCTTTTGTAGCTCCCCTTATTGGGTTAAGCGGTAGTCTCCAGCTTAGCTATGGAAGATCGAGTGGAATGTTGGTGGCAGGGGCGGACTGACAACTCATGGGGCCCCCGGGCAATAGGGGATCATGGGGCCCCTGTGTCCTTGCCCAAACTCAAAAAAGCCTATGAAAAAGTTACCAGACAGGGGCGGACTGACAACTCATGGGGCCCCCGGGCAATAGGGGATCATGGGGTCCCTGTGTCCTTGCCCAAACTCAAAAAAGCCTACGAAAAAGGTACCAGGGGCATCTCATGGTTGGCTCTGAGGAAGAGGTTGTGTCCTCGAAACGCGTTAGCCAGTTGGTCATCCAGGGTTCCATCGTATGGACTCAGATGTTGTTTGGATCATACATCTTGTTCAGTTTGACATGCCTGTGTTATTATGTCCATTGTGAGTATGATACCTATTTTTGTTTCTTTAATAAATTATTTTAAACAATAATGCACTAGGTCGGTGCGCCCTTTTTTCTGTTTCTCCATTTGTATCCAGTGTATTTGGACCACCCCGGTCTGTTGAGGGCAGCAAGCAGTGCATATTCCAGAAAATTCCAGAACATTCCTATTGGGTCTACTGAGTCCTTTCCTAGCGCAGGAGTAAAGTGTTTGTTGTGTTGCATCTCATGGGGCCCCCTACTGACCCCGGGCCCTCGGGCAGTGCTCGAGTTTCCAAATGGTCAGTCCACCCCTGGTTGGTGGTAGTGTTGCTGCGTAGAAAAGAGCTGACAGAGAGCACAAGTGCTCCTGATTCAGGTCCTAATGGGATTCCAAGGGCCTCACCAGTAGAGACCATGTAGTACACCAGGCTTTCCAATCTGGACTCCCCTAACCCTTAGAAAGCCAGACTAGGGTTGCTGGAGGACTAATTGTTAAAGTCTGTTGCAGAGTGGGCAGAGTATGGAACTTTAAGCAACAAATCCAATAATTCAGTTAAGTTATGTTGTGCCCTTCATGTAGCTATGAAGAGTTTCCTACGTGATCAATTAAGTTCATGACCAGTAAAGCAAGAAAGACAGGGAGTCAGTCTCTTTCTTGCCAAATAAAGGGACCCTTGTGTGGAACCATAGTGAAAGGTGGTGGCGCCCTGTGAGTTGGATCCACCAGACTGTTGGTATAGACAGGCCCCCTGTCTGCGCCATGTACTCAGTAAACCAGTGACCTTGAGGCCATGTGTTTGGCATGACTCTGAAGGGACCAGGTTGGGGCCGGCATTTAGAAACTATATTGTTAACATGAAACTCCAAGCTAAAGAAATACTGTCTAAATCTAATGCCCCGTACACACGATGAGGATATCCGACGAACGATCGGCTGTTTTTTTTCGTCTGCTAGTCTCACATTGAAAGTGAAGAGGTTACTAAAGATATGAAAATTCTCCTATGAAAGAAAAGAATTTCGAAAGTGATGTCATGTATTGTATTTGTATTGTGTTTTCAGATGACTACTGTACTGATTAAACGAAAATCGTACGATCTGGTATCGTACAAGAAAAATGTTTGTGCTTGTCCCTTCGGATATTGTTGTACAAATTGTTGTGATCGGCTCTCAAAAGCTGTGTACTAACGATCCGATTATCGGACGATCGGTCCTCGTACGAAAATGTTCGTACAATTTTCTTATAGTGTGTACTAGGCAATAGAGGCATACATGACTAAATCTTGGCAGCACAGTGGCTAAATGGTTAGCACTTCCATCTGGCAGTACTCGGGTTGCTGGTTCTAAATCTCAACCATGGCACCACCTGCCTGGATTTTGCATGTTCTCCCTGTGCCTGCGTGGGTTTCCTCCAGTTACTTTGGTTTCCTCCCACCCTCCAAAGACATGCTGGTAGGTGAATTGGCTCCTGTCTAAATTGGCCCTAGTATATGAATGTAAGTTAGGGACCTTAGATTGTACGCCCCTTGAGGGTTAGGGACAGATGTGAATGTACAATATATATATGTAAAGAGCTGTATAAATTGATGGCGCTATATAAGTACCTGTAATAATAATAAAT